CCTTATCCTACTCTAGGCCTAGACTAGCTACAATAGGATGGTATAGGCCTAGCCTTGAAGGGGCGAAGGTCCCAATGGAAATCAGCGTCGCTCTTTGATAGCTAACATTGTCTATTTAACATCACAATAATTCATTATTAGACCAGGCTATAGGCCTAGATTTTTTTTGAATTGTACTCCACAAATCTCAGCCGATACCTCGCACAACTCGTTAACGTCTCTCAATATAGGATCTAGGCCTAGTAGTAGTAGAATTAAATAACCTTCCTTGTTCAGCCTTGTTCAGCCTTATTCAGACGCCTCTATTCTCGACAATTTCAAAGTTGTAATGACGTAGGCCTAGGCCTAAGCCATCAAATTCTGAACATCAACTCCAGGGCTAGACGTTCTCTCAACTCTCTCTCTCCTCTCTCTCTGCCCATAGAGATAATACTTTTGATAATACCTCTAGGCTATGTCTCAGCCCTTATTTTGGACACAGAAGTGCGCCTTCAGCCCCTATTCTGGACACGATAGGGCACCCTCAGTCCCTATTCTGGACAGGATAGTGCGCCCTCGGCCCCTATTCTGGACACAGTAGCTCGCGACCTCAGTCCCTATTCTGGACACGGTAATGCGCCCTCAGCCCCTATTCTGGACAAAATTGAGCCCCTATTTTGGACAATCCCACCACACCTAATGTGGAAACTTGCCCCATAAAAAAATGTACACTTCTAGACCATGCAGTCTTCAAAATTGTAACCTTTGGTAATCAAGTACATTTTCCACATACATAGAAATTTTTGAAACTGTATTAAAAAAAACCAACCATAATTCACCACTATAGACACTTTTTGACAAAAATGAAAAATTACGACTTTGTTACCCAATGAGAAGTGTTCTAATATAGACAATGGGTCGTGTCTCATATTATTTGTTATATTTTTATTATTCATTATTTTCACTTGACTCGCATAAATAATTTTGTTCGAAGAACATTTATATGCAGTTGTACTTCGCAGCACTTGCAATTTGCAATTTCTAGTTAGTAAGATATTGTACCGACCCCAGAATTGTGAAATAACATTGCATTTTCACCATTCTCGCACAAGAGCCACTTTTTGGGGCCCAATATCTTAATAATTAAAACATTGTGTCCCTTACGACCAAAGTGCATGACTGAAATAAGCACAAAAGGTTGTTTTTGAAGTAAAAGTTTCATGGCTCTAGAGAGTACAATGTAAAATTTGCTCATTTAAATTCAATGTCACACAGTGTTATTGCTCGATTGTTGCACTTGGGGGGCCATTTTTGGGGCAAACTATCTTACTAACTAAAGACTGTATCCCTTAACAAATTGCATGAATTAAATAAGTGTACAAATATGTACTAAAATATAAGGTTACATGGTTCTGAACTGTACACTGTTAATGTTATACTCATTTTAAATATCAAAATAGTTGCACAATGTTATAGTGCAATTCTTGCGCTTGGGCCATTTTTGGGGCAAAATACTTACTAATTAAGCAATGCATCCCTTTAACAGACTGCATACTGCAATCAGCACAAAAAGTTGTCTATAATGAAAGGTTTCAGGGCTCTAGACAGTTCACAGATAATATTATGCTCATTTGAAATCAATAGTAACACAATTTTATTGCACAATTCTTGCACTTGGGCCATTTTTGGGGCATAATATCTTACTAATTAAACAATTTATCCCTTTAAAAGACTGCATAACTGAAATCAACACAAAAAGTTGTCCTAGAATGAAAGGTTTCACGGCTCTAGACAGCACACGGATAATATTATGCTTATTTGAAATCAACAGTAATACAATTTTATTGTGCAATTCTTGCACTTGGCCATTTTTGGGAGGGACATATCTTACTAATGAAAGACTATATCCCTTTATAGAACTGCATGCCTGAAATAAGCACACATAAAGTTGTTTTAGAATTATAAGTTTCAAGGGTCTAGGCAGATTACTTTTAATATTATCGATATTCAAAAATTAATTTTGTCACATTTACGCACTGATACTGTCACAAATTGAAAAATATACCCCTTTTCAAATCGCTTTTTAAACATGAAGGGATAAAGACACCAAGCTGATATTTTGAACATCTGATCATCATATATAAAGTAATTAATGGTGCAAGTTTTAACAACAAGCGTACTTGCCCACAGGGTCAAAGGTCACCATGAACACAAGGCATTTTTGTGCATTTTTTGTCCCAAATAACATTTTGACCTTCGATTACCCCCTAATATGATAAGTTAAAAATCCGGAATTTTTTGTGGTGAAACATTTTCAACTATATATTAATAATTTGTTGCATAAGACCCATTTAATAACTGATTTAGGTATTTTATGGGGTCTAAAAATGGAAGAAAAATTACACAACCAAATAAGTTAGGGTGTTTATGAACCAATATTTTTGTAACTGGGTCTGGTATACCAAAAGTCACGTCATATTCCTGTTCTACAGCCAAAAGTTAGTCTAGATATCAATTTTCAGTTAATTATCTTTATTCTATTTGAAGATATCGCTAATTGAAAATGCAACTCTACAAATATGTCATGATTGATAGCTAAAAAGGGGTATGACCCTAAAATTTCAAATGCCCCTAACTTCTGAAAATTTGAGTTGGCACGGAATGACCCATATATCAGTAACCTTCTTGACAAACAATCCATCTAATCATAACTATCCATTTCATGAATGCACAATAAATATTTCAGTGTAGACCTGGTCCACATTTGCTACTATGTTCACCTTGATTTTACAGTTTTTAGCCCACTCCCAGAGGGAGAGGGCTTGTAATATGATTTTGAGCGAATTTTGAAGTCATTTCTTTTTCTATCAGGGCCATCATTTGTAACGCGATTTCTGTCAGAGCCTTCATTTGTGACGCGATTAGGCTGATTTTGTAATAATATAGAAGAGAAGACTTGGGGAATTTAAAGTATGGAAAGAGTTTTTCGAAAATATTATCGGCAAATTCGTGAAATTGTATGTTTTTATATCATATCTCTTGCCATTGGGATGGATTTCTTAAAAAGGGTGTGCGTCATTGGTCAGATTGCAAATGGTCTCTATATTTCATATTGTGTGTATCAACCAATCACAGCAAATAATGCATCTGTGTTGAGTCTAAATAACGATATGTACTGCTGTTTCGTGGTGCTTGCAAGGCTGGCTGGTCTAGAATATGAGATAATACTTTAAGGAATTATGATGATTTTTTTTTGTCCCTCTACTCTGTTACTTTTGGCAGGATAAGTTTGCTAAATTAAAAAATAATATTTTTATATTTCTCTCACCTGCCGCCAAACACTAAAAAAATTAGATGTGCTAAACAAATTTAAAAAATATCGTCTTATAAGCCAATACCTGATTTTCAACAGAAATTAAGTAGAAAACCACCTTTATTTTCAAAAATATGTGGGTGGATTTTTAGGGTCAATTTATTCGCTCATGCAGGCCTTATTTTACAGTCAGGAATATGGGCAAGAAAAAAGTCCTTGGTATGAGTATTTTAATTGCACAGTGAATACATCTAAAACGTAAGGAGATAATGTGCAAGCAATTCAGAATTGTGCATTAACTGTTAGGCGCGATCGCCAAATTATTCCAGACGGCAAAAACATGTATAGGTCAACACACTATCACGAACGCGTCTAAGAAATCAACCATTCTAATTACCATGCTATATGAATATTCATTTCCTACAAGCTTGAATTATGGCTCGCGTCTGGACGACGGTGAATCGTTTGGACGCTTGTTGATCGTTTGAACAATTTTCTATTGTTTACTACTACTGCTAGCACGGTCAACTGCCCCACTTGAGTGTGTAGAAATACTGGCATTTCAAATAATGTTATTATGCAGCTCCTATTCTTTCTTATACTGTACGTACATGTGGCTATACTTTCTCTATGCATATATGAAGCTATGAGATTTGTAAATTACATGATGACAACATGCCTGGAGGTCCAGGTCGCGGTATGCGCTAAGCAAGTTCCATTGGAATTCACTTTGTACGCTGCTCTATAGATAGAACTACGTCGAGACTCTAAAAATAGCGCTGACGTTTTCTTTGCTAAAGTGAAGGCGAGCGGGTACTGTACATTAGCATGACAAATCACAAACATACTTCAATTATACTTTAAGTGCCATGGTACAGTCGGCGTTACATTCTGGCCTAAATATAAAATCAAATCTAGACGTAGGTAGTCTGCCTATAATTTTATCCTCGTGCATGGCTAGTTACTCACAATTTTCTGAGGCTACTCTCTACGTGTATACTATGCAACAGTGCATTTTCTTTACTATAAGTTCTAATGTAGGTCTTCCATCGAGAGATGTATATTTAGTTGACTAGTAAAATTTAGATAAAGACAATAACCAGGACAATAACTTGTCATAATCAGTGTTCTCCCCAGGGCAATAAGCCTCATTCAGAAAACATGTTTACCTGACTAATTCCTACCTTTTAAATTCATTGTGCCTACATCACTCTTTCTATTTAACCTTTTAAAACATAGTTTATTAATATTTGTTTGATGTATACTCATGATGACATAGGTTTTTATGTGTCCTATTTCTAAATACTGTAAACATCAACAACTTCAGACATTCTCAAGTCTAGGCAGTGAAAGTTGGCCCTCATCCAAAAAAACAAAAACAATCACACACCATTGGCCCAAGATGAAAAGTCGTCCATGTGGCTTTCTCTCCTTGTTGATCGCACCAGATTTGTGTGTGCCGCTGAAACAAAAGTTTATGTTCAGTTGAAAATTAAATAAATTACAGTAATATCGCGAGTTGTCAGTAAAACCTTTACTGTGTAGGCAATGGTTTAGCCATGTTTTAATGGAATTCACAAGTTGAAATTCGCCGGGGAAATTTGGCATAAAAAAATGTGTTTCGCATGAAATTCATGTAAATTCAATTAATAAATGCTTTTCTTTTCCTAATTCTGGTTTTTTAATGAATGTATATATTTTATTTCAGTAAAAATTTTGTAGAAGGCTGAACATTGCAAAGATTTCAGCAAACTGGTAGACTCATCCAGCTCAGCTCAATGGCTATAATGCTTTCTTGTTGTGTGCTCGTTAATTCTACTGAATGGTGAGTGAAAAACTTGTTCTTATGAATTTCTTGTCCTTTGTAAAAGCTTTGTGGGATAATGTTCAACCTGATTCATCACTAAGAATAAACATTACAATTTCAATATTACAACACAAAAACCCTAATTAAATTATTTTAAAATAAATTAAAATAAAATTTTCATGAAATAAGTTTTTAATTGAAATTAATATAATGAACAGGGTAGTGCAATTGGAGTGATCAAAATAATAATATTATTTCATTTATGTCATTAATATGACAAAACAATGAACAAAACTATATAAAGTGGTTTTCTAACAAGTATTGACCTTGACAAACTATTACAGAAACTTTTGAGAGATATTTATGTTTGGGACATCAGAATGACCCTCACATTTACACCCTAAACTGGATCATGTCCAACACATTAATTTCTTCCTTCTAACTGTGTTAAACTTTGCCATATGTTTCGTTCAGATCAGTTGATCCGTTTTCGAAATATCTGGTCTGGGACGTTTTCCTTTGAATGGTCCTCATATCCATACCCTAATGCGGATCGTCACCAAAATTTTATCATTCTTTATTTGACCATGAAAAACTATTCTGCAAAGTTTTATTTTCATCCCTTTATATCTGGGACGTAAGCAATTATATAACCCTTAAATTTACACCCTTAAACCTGGATAGTCCCCAACACAAATAATATCTTTCTTTTAACTTTCCCGAAAGTTTCATTTAAATCAGTTGATATCTGGTCTGGGATGTTTTCATTTGAATGGTCACAAACATTTAATCATTTCTTTACTAGACAAAATGTTATACAAAGTTTCAATCCTACCCATTGATATTTACTGTAGGTCTGGGACCTGACAAATTTAAATGACCCTCAAATTTACACCTTAAACTAGGTCGTCTCCCAATGCATAATTTCTTCCTTGTAACTTGGTTACTTTCCCGAAAGTTTCATTCAAAGATCAATTGACCTATTTTTGAAATATTTGGTGTAGACTTTTTGCCCTTAAATCACATTAATTGGTCCGCACATCCACACCCCACTTGAGATTAACACTAAATATTAGGAGGCACATCCTTGATGTATGGTCTATGCTTCGACAAATCATGGGAAAGTTCCAAGCATGGGAAGTCCCTGGGGAAAAACCCAGTGCAAAAAGATAGGGAAAAAAATCAGAACAAAAATAATGGCTTTTCCAGCTACTGCTGGGAAAAGGCAATAATGATAATAATAACAACAGTGCTCAGTAGAGAGCATCTCTGCCCACCACCAATCTCTTTCTATAAAATAAATCCTCAAAAATATGTTTCTAATTTCCAACTACCATCTACTTAAAAAAATTACACTAACACAAAATTTTCATTCAGATCAGACGTTTTGCTTTGGATGGTCCTATATCGACATCAAAATTTAAGCATTTTTCAAACGGTTTTCATTATGTCAGTTGTACACCTGCCTATTCCTAACATCTTCTGGCTTAACACATTGGCACGTTTTACTCTTATAGCTGACCAAAAAAATACCTGTCATGTATTGGTGTTGAAATGCAAATAGAAATATGAGGATTTGGTTTTTAGTGTCACATGTTTAAATGTAAAGATGCATTAAAAATATTCCCAGTCAGTTCTGAAAAAAGTGAAGTAAGTATATAAAATGCTGTATACCTTTACTGTAATTGCACTAATTTAAATATTCATTATCTATTGTTTCTGCCATGTTTTAAAGGTCTTGGACATTTTAAATGACCCTCAAATTCACACCCAAATTTGGGTCGTCATCAACACTTAATAATATCTTCCTTGCAACTTGTTTAAACTTTCATTCATATCAGTTGATTAGTTTTTAAAATATTTTGTCTAGAATGTTTGCTCTAAAATCCTTTAATTGGTCCTCACATCCCCACCCGACTTCGGACAATCACCAAAATGTAATCATTTCTTCATTGAGTTATACCTCATTCACAAAAAACATGCAAAACATGAAGATGTTACACACACAAACACACACACACAAGCTTTTACATGACTGAAACATATACAGTATCTCATAGCGGAGATAATAATAATAATGATTTTTATAGTGCATAATGCAATCATCAAAGAAAGGTAAATACAGTGTTCGAATAAAGGACATAATAATACATTGTGTAGCATAGCTCTCAACGAATGGAGTCCTGTGAATAAATGAATTTATTTACAGAATGAATACATTTACAGGACTATATTCGTTGAGAGCTATGCTACACGATGTATTATTATGTCCTTTATTCGTACACTGTATTTACCTTTC